TTGGGATATTGCAGTATCCTCTCGGCTCAGTCTCCGTAATATCAAGCTGGGTACTTTATGCTCATGACTGTGTCCCCATCACCAAGCACAGTGCCTGGCACATGGTAGCACATAGTATACACAAGTCAAGTTTTAAAAGGAGTAAGGCGAGAGAGTAGAAGGAGGAGAGAAGAAGAAAGAGGAAGAGTTTGTCCCCCTGAGTGTCAACCGCTCTAGAAAAACTTAGAACTGTAATAATAATACTGGTGGTAAGAGCTAATATTTTTGGAGCACCTACCATATTCTAGGACTGCAGTTTACTATATTATCTCATTTTATCCTTGTAACAACACTATGAGCTAAGTGCTATTATTATCTCCATGTACGTAAGAATGAAACTTGGGCTCCAAGAGGTTAAGAACTTATTCTAAATCACCAAGCTAGTATGTGGCAGAATCAACCTAGGCCTGACAGTCTACAAAGTCGATGCTCCAAACCAAAGCCAATCGCACCCATATGTGTGGCTCTAGGATTTCCGGTGAAGCCTACAGTGGACATTGCATCTACTCCAACTGCTGATACTTCACATTTTTGAAGGTGTCCTCTGCATCTTCCACTGAGTCTTCTGCTCTTCAAGTTAAACATCCCCAAGTCCCCAGTTCTTCCTTACATGGCATGGTTCACAAATCGCTCACCTTTTTCTAGGATTGCTTTGCCCAAATTTATGTGGTGGTTGTGCCAGGTCACTAAATGATTTACAAGAGGAGTGTATGTGTGCATGTATATGTGTGTATATGTGTTTGCATGTGTATGTGTGTATGCACGTGTGTATGTGTATGCGTGGTTGTATGTATACAGATATGTGTCTGTGTGTGTAGAAGGGAAGAATAAATGTTAAAGGAAGACAAAGCAGGACCTGTTTCCTGTCTGTTTCCTTTTTATTTTTGTGGGTACTTAGTAGGTACATATTTATGGGGTACATGAGATGTTTTGATACAGGCATGCACTGGGAAATAGGCACATCATGGAGAATGGGTTGTCCATTCCCTCAAACATTTATCCTTTGAGTTACAAATAATCCAACTACACTCTTTATTTTAAAATGTACAATTATTATTGACTCTAGTCACCTCGTTGTGTTATCTAATAGTAGGTCTTACTCATTCCTTCTACTTTTTTTGTACCCATTAACCATCTTCACCTCCCCTCACCAGCTCCCAACTATCCTTCCCAGCCTCTGTGTCCATGAGTTCAATTGTTTTTATTTTTAGATCCCACAAATAAGTGAGAACATGCAATGTTTGTCTTTCCATGCCTGGCTTATTTTGCTTAACATAATGACCTTCAGTTCCATCCATATTGTCGGAAATGACTGGATCTCATTCTTTTTTATGGCTGCATAGTACTCAATTGTGTATATGTCCCATATTTTTTTTTTTTGTCATTCATCTGTTGATGGACACCTAGGTTGCTTCCAAACCTTAGCTATTGTAAACAGTGCTGCAAAAAACATAGGAATGCAGATATCTGTTCAATATACTGATTTCCTTTCTTTTGGGTATATACTCAGCAGTGGGATTGCTGGATCATATGGTAGCTCTATTTTTAGTTTTTTGAGGAGCCTCTAAACTTCTCCATAGAGGTTGTACTGATTTACTTCCCAAGAACAGTGTACAAAGGTTCCCTTTTCTCTACATCCCTGCCAGCATTATTATTGCCTGTCTTTTGGATATAAACCATTTTAAGTGAGGTAAGATAATATCTGATTGTAGTTTTGATTTTCATCTACCTGAAGATCAGTGATATTGAGCACCTTTTCATATGTCTGTTTGCCATCAGTATGTGTTCTTTTGAAAAATGTCTATTCAAATCCTTTGCCCAATTTTAGATCAGATTATTAGATATTTTTCCTAGAGAGTTGTTTTAGCCCCTTGTATATTCTGGTTATTAATCCCTTGTCAGATGGGTAGTTTACAAATATTTTCTCCTATTCTGTGGGTCATCTCTTCACTTTGTTAATTGTATCCTTGGCAGTGCAGAAGCTTTTTAACTTGGTGTGATCCCATGTGTCCATTTTTGCTTTGGTTGCCTGTGCTTGTGGGGTATTGCTCAAGAAACTTTTGCCCAGACCAATGTTTTGGAGAGTTTCCAAACATCTTTCCAAACATCCCATAGAGGTAGTCTTACAGCCTCTGATTGCGGTTGAAAACATTGGACGAAAACAAAGTACCAAAAGGTAAATGAGTTCCCTAAGTCATAGAGATAGCCAATATATCGATTTACTTATAACCCCATTTGTTTCCACAAAGGACTTGAATGTGTAGAATAACGCTGTTTTTATTGGGTTGCCTGTGCTTACGGGGTATTGCTCAAGAAATATTTGCCCAGACCAATGTCTTGAAGATTTTCCTCAATGTTTTCTTGTAGTAGTTTCATAGTTTGAGACTTAGATTTAAGTCTTCAATCCATTTTGATCTGATCTTTGTATATGATGAGAGGTAGGAGTCTAGTTTCACCCTTCTGCATATAGTTATCCAGTTTTCCCAGCACCATTTATTGAACAGACTGTCTTTTCCCCAGTGCATGTTTTTGGCACCTTTGTCAAAAGTGAAGGACCTGTCTTAAAGTGAGGCTTTCCTTGATCAGGACTACTTAGTGAGCCTGCAGTCTAGCATTGAAGACCAGTAATATTTCCTATATAAGTGAAAACAAGCACATTCCCAAGCCTTGAACATCCATGTATGATGAAGTGAGGTCTATTTTCTCTCCTTGTCTGGAGGCCAAAGACATTTTCCATACCTTATACGAAAAATTTTGCAGTAGGGAAAGCAGGAGCTCTCTTCTCTCCTGGAAGGTAGCTATCTAGAGATGAAACCGCTTATGTTTGAAAAGTTCTTTCTATTAGAACAGACCAGGAGTTAAATTTTCTTGTGCCATGGACCACTTGGATGTCTGATGAAACCTATGGATCCCTTATGAGAATTGTGTTTTTAAATGAATAACCTAATTACATAGAATTTCAAAGGAAATCCATTATATTGAAATGTAGAAATAAGTATTTTTAAATCATAATCTAGTAACAATGTGCTTCTCTATTAGGGATTTATATGTTAATATATATGTCTAACAACTATCATATTAAAGTAGTAATAAGCATAAGTGATATTTCAAGATCTCTGTAACAACTCTCATATGAAATGAAAGTATCTGATTGCTATTAGTGACACAGGCACAGGTATTGTTAGTTTGTCACCTACATTCATAACTGAAAGAAATGCTAATTCAACTAGAAGGCAGTGAAAAAACATATGTAATTCTTTCTCAGCAAAATTCATAGATGCCCTGAATTCCATAGATGCCCACAGCATAAGAACCACCAGAATAGAGGGTTGAAACATTAGAATCCTAGCTGAGAGAAACTGTAGGAAACACCAGCTCATTTTACAGATGAGCAAAGTTTGCTTTTGAAGGTTTTTTTTTTTTTTTTTTTTTTTTTTTTTTGAGACGGAATTTCGTTTTTGTTACCCAGGCTGGAGTGCAATGGCACGATCTCAGCTTACCGCAACCTCCGTCTCCTGGGTTCAGGCAGTTCTCCTGCCTCAGCCTCCTGAGTAGCTGGGATTACAGGCACGTGCCACCATGCCCAGCTAATTTTTTGTATTTTTAGTAGAGACGGGGTTTCACCATGTTGACCAGGATGGTCTCGATCTCTTGACCTCGTGATCCACCCGCCTCGGCCTCCCAAAGTGCTGGGATTACAGGCTTGAGCCACCGTGCCCGGCCTGCTTCTGAAGGTTTAAGAAGATCTTTGATTTTGTGATGTACCTCACAGGTTCTAGTATTTCATATTTTGTCTTATCGAGAAGTCAGTGGGGGAAAGTAAGAGTGAAAATTTTGGACAAGTTGATTTGGACAGCTTGGCACAATTTGATTTTCATCATTTATAAACTGAATGTGGAGAAAAGAAAAATAAAATGGTCCCATCTACAATGGGTCCCACCTCCTGGACCCCTGGCCAGGGCTTGCATTTTTTTCCCTCACCCCATACACACAATTCCAAAAACATCCCTCACCTTCTAAAAGGACTTCCCTAAGCATTCAAAGAGGTACTTTTTTACTTAAAGCTAACAATGAAAAATACCACAGTGGGGAACCTGCCCTTAAACTTCAATAGATTCTTTCAAAGAAAGTAGCCACTTTGCAATGGAAGATTTTCACTCACATCTTGACATCTTGACATATATAATAAATTCCCAAACACTCCTGAAGCCACGTGAGCTCCTGGCAGACAAACCATCAGCAGATGCAACTGGATACCACCCCCCAGCTTTACTCTGACCTCCTGCCTTGTGCCCAACTAAGTCATTCAAGCCCCAAAAAGGAGTAAAAAATAAACTGTCTTCACTCTGTCTTCCCACTGAAGACAACAGAATATCTGAAGATCTGAAAATCTTTTATATCATTTTAGATCTGGAAGTTACCATGGAGCTGATCTATCAGGGGCCTACTAACGGTAGTTTGGGTAGGATAATTCTTCCTTATGCAGAAGTATCTGAATCCCCTATACTAAGTGCTAGAAGCACCCACTCATGTCTCAATGACAGTCAAAAGTATCTGCTCACCTTTCCAAACATTCCCGAAAAGTAGTCTTATAGCCTATGATTGCAAAAGGTTGAAAACAAAGTACAGAAAGGTGAGTTCCCTAAGACATAAAGATGGACAATATATTGATTTATTTATAACCTCATTTCCACAAAGGACTTGAATGTGTTAAATAACTCTATTTTTATTTGGGCATAATTCTTCTTATCTCTATCTACACATCATAAAAGAACTGCCCACAGCTACACAGCTAGAAAGTAGAGGAGATCAGAACTTGTGCGTTTAGCACGAGTCCCACCATGTTATTCCATCAGCCACTCAGTCCTGTCTCCAAGGCACTGGGCAATTGTAGGTTCCACATTTAAGGCCCAGGTGCCATCCTGACCTTCTGAGTCTGACAAATGCCATCATCCACACAGGTGCTGCAAGGAGCAGCAACATGCTTCTATGCTTTCATTGGCTTTGACATCATCGCCACCACTGGAGAGGAAGCCAAGAATCCCAACACGTCCATCCCTTATGCCATCACCGCCTCCCTGGTCATCTGCCTGACAGCCTATGTGTCTGTAAGTACCAAATGCTTGTGTGACCCTCCTCACCATGTGACTCTGGTACCAAGCTCCCTTCTCTCTCAGGAAGGAGTCCTTTCCTGTGTCTTCTTGGTATCTGTGTGCCTGTGCCTTTTGCTGCCATAGCCCCATTCCCCACTCCCTATGACAAGAAAAAAATTAGGACTCCAGACTGAAGAACAGGAGAAGCCTCAGACCTTCACTTCAACCTTGGCCTTCACTCCCACCCCTCCATCCACACAAGCTCTTCGTGTCTGCTGCCGCCCCAGGGGCTGGTGTGCAGGGAATGGGCTGCCATCCAAGGAGCTCAGGTCATAGGCTGGCAGTAACGGGTGGGTGTGCGAGCAAAGGCATTGTGGGCCTCTGTGCACATTCCTCAATGCTCTTCTGTCTTCTGGGAGCTTCCCAGCAGCAAAGAGGCGAGGCTCCCTGCACAGCAGAGAGAGAGAATACATTGTCCTCTACAGACTCTTTTCCCCTTAAATCTGGGGAGGAAAGTGCCATTTCTTTCCGGCTGTTGCTCCCGCTTTTTACACCAGCTCAAACTCACCTTTGGGTTTCCCTACCTAGGGGAAGCTCAGTACAAAGAGTTCAGCCTTGTCTTCTTCAGGATCACGCCCCTGAGACACCCCTCATACTCTGATGTTTGCTTTCTCAGTTCCCACCCCAGAATTTCTATCACAGAAATAGCCCAGCTGCATCCAACATCCCCCTCCTGCTCCTGGCAATGGAGAGGGAGAGAATCAGCTCCCAGGCCAATGAGTGTGTGGTTCCACAAACATTCTCAGGTCCTGAGGGGCCCCCTCACTTGGGTCACCACAATTAGGAAAGCACCAGCAGCGATGACGGAGCCAGTGGTGCTGCCGCTGATCAGCCCTGCTGTTTCTCTTTCCCAAAAAGACATCTTTAGCAACTAGCTAAGAAAGCCACATCTATTGATCATTAAGGCAAGCTGCGAAACAGGATTGTTCTAGAAGCCAGAGGAAAACACAGAGCAAACTTGGGGGTGGTTTACAGACATTCAGTTGACTACCCAGAGGTTCTATGGGTGCCTCAATTATCACCTCCCCCTATACACACACGTGCAAGTGCCTTCACCCTGTCCAGACCCCAATGATCCCTGTGGGCAGAATGTTGAAGGAGTCGCCACGGGGTGGAAGAAACAGCAAGGACACTCTGTGTTTCCCTTTCTACTTTCTACTCCTCCTTCATTCCTGCCCTTCCTCCAGGGGTGGGGCCCTTACAACACACACAATAAAGTCAGTCATCACAGTGCCTCCCTTAGAATCGACCACAGAGTACTTCTATGCATCCACCAACTTTTTATGCATCCTGATCTAACTCAGGAGCCTTGATCCCACTCTCCTCCAGCCCACCCTATCCCATCCCCAAAGGGGATATTGCAAGCAGTTATGTTACTGGGAAACATTCTCTTTCATATTGCACAGGCCTTAAACACCCCCTAGGAGCTGTTTGGTATTGTACTGGTCCGCAGGCAGCCCCTTCACCACCATGAGAAGAACGAGGTTGCTGGGCAGTAATGGGACATCATGTCCTCCCTGGTGACCCTTGGCTCTGCTGGAAGATCTTGGCTCCAGAGGAATAGGCAAAGAAATGGCCTACATGTGACCACCCTCTTTCCTTCAGGCTTTGAATTCCTTTCTTGATGCCAATGTGGCCTTCATAGGCCTGGGGGAGCACCACATCTGGCCCAATGACTTGTGGCTCCATTGCCTATGGCCAATTCTGAAGGCAGGGTATTAGGCAGATCAATAATATGTGAAGGGAACAGATCCTGGGAGCCTCCAGTCAAGTGCTTATCACCTCCTCCAGGCACACGCGTGCCAGTGGCTTTGTCCTCTCCATCCCTGATTTCTCCCCATAGGCAGAGTGTTGAGGGAGGGGCAGTGGGATAGAGGGAACAGCAAAGACACTCTGCTCTCTATTTCCCCTTCTGCTTTTCCCTCGTGTCTCCCTCTTCCCTGGGGGTGGACCCTTGCAGCACACATAGTAATAATTCCTGATTAAGCAAAGCCACCATTGTCCGACAGCCATACAGTCAGTAGGACTTGACTCTGTCCTGATGCTGTAATTTGTTTGTTGACCTGCCTGGCTCCTAGGACTAAGCTAGAGAAAGGAAATAGAAATATGAGTTCTCCTCTGGATCCCAACAGTTAATAGGCCACAGACCTCTTAAGCATTTACCTTTGGAGATTTTATCTCTGGTGTTTCACAGTGAAAGGGAGCACAGATAAGACCCTGTAGTGCCAGAAAGTGTAAGAGAAATGACAGCCTGGCCCAGGTGGGCAGGGTGCCCTGGTCCCTGCCAGGTCCTGGCTGTAGCTCCTTCCTTCTGGAAATACCCGCTGTCCACTGAACTGTCAGCATAGATAGCTCTGCTTTCATGGGGCTGAAATACCTGCCAACTTACTCCTTAGATATCAAAGGACTGGAGAGATAGAGTTTCTGGCCCAGTCCACTAAATTCACATGTGGGGAGAAGATATTGAGAAAGGCCTAGAAGCCAGATGACTGGTCTACAGTAAAGGCACATGCCAGCAAGTGGAGGATCCAAACTGCCATGCTAGCCTCTGCCTCCAGGGGTGGGGCTCTTTCCTCTCCCATGGGGCCTCCATCCATGCTGTTCTTCCCCTGTACCTCCAGCCCTGTCTTCTTTTGTTTTAACAGGTGAGCATGATCTTAACTCTGATGGTGCCATATTATGCCATTGACACAGAATCCCCACTCATGGAGATGTTTGTGGCTCATGGGTTCTATGCTGCAAAATTCGTAGTGGCCATTGGGTCGGTTGCAGGACTGACAGTCAGCTTGCTGGGCTCCCTCTTCCCCATGCCGAGGGTCATTTATGCCATGGCTGGTGATGGACTCCTTTTCAGGTAAGGGCTACGCTCCGTGAAATTTGTCCTGCTCTGCCACGTCCGTACAGGGAGAATGTCTATACACTGTTAGCCTGACTATAATTTTGATGTCAGTGCCTTTCACCTGGACTGTGGACCTTGTCATATATCCTGGAGAAAAGTCTGAGTGAACAGAGCTCAGGCCCTGAAACAGCCCCTTAGTTTAACTCTGAGGTCCCTTAATCCAGCACAAGCTGATGTGTGTCCCCCACTTCCCTCCTCCCTCCTGTTGACATTGTATGAAGATTTGTGAAGATGATGGGTGTCAAACTGCTGTACTGAGTGACCCCCAGAAGGAAGAACCCATCCCAGGGACATCTTAGGCCTGCCCTCATATTGAGACCTGGTAACTGCCCCTCTCTCCACAACCCCTCTGAAATTGAAAAAATTCCAACAAAGAGTACATCGGACCCTCTGAACAAATCCTAACAGTAGCGGCAACACCAGCTGCCATTCACTGAACATTTGTGTATCCTGGGTGCTGAGTATACAGTATCCCACTTAGTCCTCACAATAACTCTATTTTGCAGACAAAATGTCTACTAGGACTCAGAGTGGTTAAAAAAAAAAAAAAAAGCCACAAATCCCTCAGCTACCGAGTGGCAGGTCAGGATTTGATCCCAGAACATCGAACTCCAAAAACCAGACTTTTAACCACACCATTATACTGGCAGTTCTTGCCCCCTACACTGGCCACGAAGTGGCCTATCTGCCCATGGTACAAAAGGGATGCGGCCTCGTCTCTTTGTTTCCAGCCTGAGGGGCCTGCTGAGAAAGCATCCTTCAAGTGCACAAAGCAAGGAGTAAACTGTGGAGGGCAAGGAGCTCTCAGGTGTGCAGAGGGGGCTGGTTCAGGGACTCTGCCTCTGCAGCCATCATCTTCGGACTCATTTCCCCTGCATATCCTCTGAAGCCATCACCAGGTCAGAGCTGTTGTGTTTAGGTTGCTGATGAGATCAAGAAGGGCCTAGGGTGATGGAGGTGTGGCAACTTCACACATCCAAAAGATTTTTCTGCTGTCAAAGAAACTAAGAGGAAAGATACTTAGGCTTTAAGCACATTTCCAGGTTGTGTGAATCATAAAAATATGGGACCAGGAGGAGAGAGGAAGGGAAAGGGAGCCTACTGCATGTGCCATTCAGTCGCTTTGTTGTTCCCTTCTTTAGCAGTAACTAGCTGGACTTGAGCCTGTATCTATGAGCACAATTTCTCAACTACTGTGCTATTTTGCCAACTAAACCCATGAACTTTCGTTATTGGTGGTGTCTCAAGCTTTGGCATAAATAAGAATCCTCTGGAGGTCTTTTAAAGCAATTTGCTAGGCCTCACCCCCCTATGATTCCAGTATAAAAGGTCTTGGGTGAAACCTGAGAATATACATTTCTTACAAGCTCCATGAGGATGCTAAAATGCTAGTTGACAGGTCAGGAGGGCTCCCAGGCATGACTTCCTCCAACCATCACTTTTTCACGCAGAGCTAGGGCTTCAATCTAGATCGCTGAAAGACAGACCTCCTAGGTTCAATCAACCGTTCCCATTACGTAATGATTAGAAACTTTACTAAAGAAGTTTGCCTTGAAATCAAAGAATAAGGCTGGGCGCGGTGGCTCACGCCTATAATCCCAGCACTTTGGGAGGCTGAGGTGGGCCGATCATGAGGTCAGGAGTTTGACACCAGCCTGGCCAGCATGGCAAAACTCCATCTCTACTAAAAATGCAATAATTAGCCAGGCGTGGTGGTGTACCTGTAATCCGAGCTACCCAGGAAGCTGAGGCAGGAGAATTGCTTGAACCCGGGAGACAGAGGTTGCAGT